CCGCTTTTCCCAACAACATCAATACAACACAATACACATGCATAGGAAATGTTAATCCTCTGAAAGTAATTTTTAATGATGAATTCTTACATTGCAGCCACTAAGCTATTCATAGGGCCAAATATTACAAAGCCAAAGGTTAGCCTGAAGAGAAACAACAACAAAAAAACAAAAAAACCCATCAAACTAAGTAAGATAAATTAATGTTTGCGATTGACTGTTCTCTGTGTGTGTGTGTGTGGTCTCTGTAAGAATGAAGAAAGCCCTTCGAGGGCCTGACATGAGTTGTCAAGAACAAGTAAACTATTGAGGTAAATAAACAAAACATGTAGTAAGTCTTAATAATTTTATTCCTGCACAACAATATTCAGGCACAGTCATCAAAGCTTTCAGAGGGTCACTTTTTCAAGTGCCTCTTGCATCATCTTTTTTTTCTTATCTTTCAAAACTAATCCTCTAAAAAGTATTCAGATTACATTCATTACATTATGTTTACATATACTAACAGGCTTCCATTATTTCTGAACTGAACCTACCTCAATACAAGCGTTACCTTTGTCAGAGAGTTTGAGATTTGAGATGCACTTGTCCATATCTTTCTGCACATACAGTACATGCATATTGATAATAGAAATGTTTAGCGTGTGCGATCAAACAGGCATGACTTAAGATATCCCAAGAATTAAACTTTATCTGCTGTGGCTTTTAAAACTAAGAATTCAGGGTGTTACACAAGGTCATAGTTTTTTTAAGCTTTTGAAGCACAAAAAAAAGTGTAATATCATAAAAATCATACAGTGGTGATTGGGCCTGTTGTAATATGATTTCATGTGGCGTAGGATTCCTTTTGACACCCCCTACTCCTGTGTTTGATAAACTTATTAGACACCTACTGGACAGCTTGTACCCACCATGATATAATTAAATATATAAGCATCCTCCTGAGTATCGGCAGAGTTATCAGTAAGTCTTAAACACCCCTGTGCTTTGCAGCACTGAAAGCATTACTCCCCTGATTGCTGCTCTTTATTTTCTTCAGTATAAACCGATCAGGTCTCTAGAGTCATTTCTCACTGTAATTGCTTTATAGTACTCATCTATAAATTATAATCTACCATTAACTCTTCTAGTAACTGTCTGAGCTTTAAGCTTCAGACTCGGTTCACTTTGTTGAGAAAAAAACACTCATTAATACAAATCCCATCTTCCTAGACCTTTAATTGTTGGACCACCTTTGTTTTTAAGGCTTGACTGAGGCTTTTCAGATAAATACATGTTTATGGTGTGAGTGGTGGTAGTAATTAGATGTTTTACTTTCAGTGACTTTATTTAAATTCAAGTTTATCTTCAGAAATTCAAATTGATATTGTTTTCTAAGTAGTGTAAAAACTGTGTGGTGAATAGGGCTGGTCTTCAAGATAACCTGCTTGAGATTTAATATCTAAATCTATTTGGTTCTTAAATGTCAGTTTCAGATATTTTTAGGCAGCCCAGTCTGAAACCTGTCATTTCTGGTTAATCTTTATTGTACCTGCTTTGTCTTTTTGAATTAAAACTAACAGCTATATGCTTTGTGCTTATCTCCAAATCCCAGACATGTTCATTTGACATATAACCTGATACCTAAGAAGTACAGGACACCCAAAATTAGAGCTAAAAGACAGCGAGTACTGGCTCACAACTTACCTCTGAGTTATATGTTAATAAAGCTCGTTCAGTGTGTAAATAAGCAACTGAAGGTGAACAAGTTCATGACGTACACTTTAAACAGCAGACCAATGCCATTAGCTACCAAAGCAAACTTTAGTCTAAACTTGTAAAACATGTTTCAGAGCTCTGGTTCTTTTACCTGACACATTTCTGAAGAGTCCCACACCAAAGAGACAGAGCAGCAGAGACAGGCTTACAGATGAGAGGAAGGACTCTGTCTTCAGTTCTGTCATTTCAAAAGGCGTGAATGCATTATCCAGCCGTTACCCTGCACCAGAGAAGAAAATCTCCATGAACACCAAGGCTATTACCAACATATGTGAGGAGTTGAAAGGAGGGTAGATCAAAGTCAAAGTGAGAAAAAAAAATGTAGAAAATGTAAAAAAAAAAAAAAAAAAAAAAAAAAAAGAAGAAGTAGAAGAAAAAAGTTCTCATGCCAAGCTACAAAGAGTAGAGGATGCAGGAGGATACAGTAGGAAACAGGCCCTTTGGCCATACAGCATCCGAGGCTTGCAATGAGGATGCTAGGAAAGAAGCTCCTGAACATTTCTTTTTACAAAGATCACTACAGATGATAGACAACTCTGTTTTTTTGAAGACACATTTGAACTGCTTTTCGTGCATCAACAAAACTATGGGCCACCAGCTCCATGTGCACTCAGAATCCTGCAACTCAAAAAAACGGTTGTTGTAGGCTGTAACTCTTTGTTAAGCTCTAAAAATCACATTTTTAATTTATTTTTTTGTTGCTCATACCCCAGAATGATTCTTCTTATTCCAATTTGTATGATCTTTATTCTGTAAAATGTTATCGCTTATTTATTAAGGTAAAAAAGTCTGGAAAAGAACCTAAAACAAGACACCAATAAACAGTAGGAATCACTTCTTTGAAAACTATACCAGTCATTCCAGTAATAAAGTGTGTCACAAAGTAAAACTTGCATAGTTGCACGTAAATTACATATTGCAAAGTACTTTTATGAAAGAATTTGTAAACATTACGCAAGTGTGTTTATCACATAAGAACATCCATGCTTATTTATACCAGGATGCTTTTAATAGCTGAAACGTGTAAAGCAGCAGCAATAATAACCTGGTAAGCTGCGTTAGGACAGAAACCATTTGTAATAGTGATACGAGTTCTTTGGGTTACACTGCCTCGCCTACACAAATAGCCGTGTTCGTGAGAGGAGGGCATATCACATTGCCAAAAGGCAGACGCTCTGTGGTTGCTCTGACCGGAGATAAGCTGCTAAGCTGCAGATGAAAGTGTGAGTGCATGTAGAGTGTGTGGCGTGGTGAGCAGCTGTGGTTTGGGTCAGATTTGGGAACCCTCAGTGACACTGTAGTTAAGATACAGCAGAGAGGAGCTCTACTTTGCTACGCACACACATGCACACACACTTCATGTCGATCCAGCTGAATTATTGGAGGCAAAGACAAAAAACAGATACAAAAGGAAAACAGACAGTTCTTTGCCAAAAGGAACAAAAACCATGAGAAATTTGATCAAGATAAATTCCTGTTTTTATGACAAATTCGATCAGAATTGAGTCTGGTTTTAGAAAAGTATGCAGAGGCATGAGCAAACATGTTATCCCAAACAGAACATGCCCTCTCTGACCCAAATCCAGCGTCATCTCGTTTTGATCCTAATAGCTCCATATGGCAAGTACGCAGTTCAGCTGTTTGGTTGATTTCACTGTTGCCTGGCAGCAAGGCTTTCGACGCTTTTACATATTCCAGAGTGCATTTGTGTGCTGTTGGTGAGAGGGATGGTTAATCTAAGAATCGATATAGCTTGTGAATAAGGGTTTCTCAGACACAGTGCAGTGTAAGCACAGCTATTTGTGGATGTCCCTTTGTATATCCCTCAAACATAAATCAACAGTTTTAAGATCATGAATGTGCTGCAGTCATGTGCACTGTAAAAACAGGCTTGGCTAGTTCAACTTTAAACAGATCAGGTATGCAAAGAAAGAACTCTTACAGCCTCGCATGGCATTAAGAATACAAAAATGGAAAACAGCTGGGAACCCTGATGGTGTGTGATTTATGGGAAGCAGTGCAATACTTTTGCATAAACCATTAACATGCTAATATTTTTAAATAGTATAATTTGAGAGAAGAAATCCAAGTTTAGTACAAACAGACCACCAAAAACCAGAAGTACAGAAAAACAAAAGAGCCAGAAGTCGGTGTTTTAATAAGGAACAGGTTCATACTTTAATAAAAGGGTATTGTCCCTTGGCACAGATCTGCTATCAAATAAATAAAGCAATTAATCAAATACAATCTATATAAACTAAACAAGTCATGAAAAAACATTAAGAGGGAGAGAGAGAGAGAGAAGGGGGTATAACAGCTAGTGCTAAACAACCTTTGTCTTTCACAAACACCAAGTGAAAACGTGTCTGTGTTGAGAGGGAGACAGTTTACAATTCACCCCTGTGAAGTGAGATTTGCACGGTGACGACTGAAGTATTAGCTGACAGGTGAGATAGCTTGACATTTATTTAATGATAAATAAGCCTTATATTCTTTCTACATTACGCTGGTTTTTCTTTCTGCAGTCCACTATATACATATGATTTTTAAATGTCAATAGAAGGATGAAAAAAAAAAAAATGAAGTGGTGTGTTCACATGAAGAAAAAGTGTCTCTAAAGACTGAGAGCTGGCAAATGAGGAGGTGATTCAATGACACGGTTGGATATGAAAAGAGGCATCAAAAGTTTGACATGAAAAAACAGTCTGGTGTAATTTCATGGATTATTAAAACCCAAAAGTAAGAACATAATGCCACAATAAAGAAAAAACGAGAAATTTAGATGGTAGCCTAAAAAGGTAAAAAGTCTCAAAAAGAAAGTTTATTTCTCCGAGGATCCTGTAAACTCTGTGACAAAATTCTTACAAAATTTTCCTCCTACTCTCCACAAATACTTTTGAGGGGCTCTTGAGCAAGGCATTTCCCCTCCGGTTGCTGCAGTAATGCTGCTTTGAAGTCAACTGTATAAAAACCAGTTTTCTCCCTGTGACTTCAGGTAATTGTATGAATGTGTGGCAGGACATGAAAAGAAATATGGAGTTCTGTGTGTTCAGTGAAACTCTCTCAGGGTAGAAGAAGTTAAAAACTGCAACCTAGCTGTGGTTCTGATCAGGCCTTTCCCTCAAATTCCTTTAGAAGCTTTCTCTCACCGTGTCGAATCCGACCACCCTGCAGCCCTAACAGCCACCTGTGCGCTGTCCGTTCATGCCAAACTACCAATTCCACACTACTTAAACTTGGAGTCACACTGCTACAGTATCATCACTGTTTTGAGTGAGGAGGAAACCACTGACAAAGAAGTTACACAAAGTTAAGAGAGCCACAGCATTAAAACTTCTTGTCTGGTAAAAAGCAGTGGGAGGTGAGGAAGCTGAGGTATGGAGCGCAGCTGTGAACCATTTCAGAGAGCGACGCCATTCCTGACCACCAGCTCCCGTGAGACGAGCCACCTGACTGCTGCCTCTGCTAGAGGACAGCCTGCAGCTGTGAGAGGACACCGCGGGGCTGGGGGCGAGACTGGCATACGCTGCATTCTTGCTCATCGCTAACACATTTACACACTGAGAGCAAACTAACAATAAAACTTTGTTTCAGTAGTTTGAACACTAACGGGAGCTGTGATCTGGTTAACATAATCCAGCTATTGTTAACCTGGAGTGCCTTTATCTTGGCAGGTGATCAACACCCTTAACAATTATGAGTCTCAGTTCAATCAATGGCTTTTCATCGAATCTATCACTGATACACGTCAGGAACACACACCAACATCTGCATGTTTAGAGTAACGCCTGTAGAGAGTCACACTCAGATGGACACACAGTCCCCCGCGGGCTGGCATGAGGACAACATGTGTGAGTTATGGGTCTAGTAGAGACTGTGGGCCGGGCCCAGTGTTATCTAGCACCAGAGGAATGGGACAGCTGAAAGAGCCGCCCCTCTGCCCAGCAGCACCACAAACAGAGCCTTGTTGGCTGAGCTCTGAGGCCACATGGTCGCACGGTGAAAAACCTGCTGACAGCTGGGGGACAGGAGGATGCCATGGAAACAGAGGGAGCAGCCACGTTAACCCAGAGACAAGAGAGCTGATTCAGGGCAGTGATAGGCTGACAGTCAGAGGACAGTCTAAAAAGCAGAGAAAGGTGCTGCACGGGTAACTTAGAGCAGTGATTACTTGTAAATATGTAGATGTGGAGGAGAGTGGTGGTGGAAAAATACATGCATGCTTCAGTGAAACATTTTTCCTTCATAAATAGTTAGAGAAAAAAACTCCCCTTGAAGCCAAACCCTATTAATAAATGAGGCACCCGCCTGACTGTCTAAATATACGAAATTTGTGTTTCATTTTATGCAAAAAAGGTTTTAACTGCTGAGATTCACTAATTAAATCAATGCCAGCACAAATACATTTTAAGAGCTTTAAATTGAGGTATTTTAAAGGGACATTGCTGAAGGAAAAAACACTGAAAGCTGGATTGATGCTTCATTTTTAGCAATTTAAGAAATTGACGGTTGCAGTTTTTAAGGATTTTTCTGCATCATCTTTTCCAGCACTCACTCACTTGTACGTACGAGTTTCTGTGGACAGTCTGATGGCCTCTACACCGCAGTATAAGTTGATGACATGTCAGCATTGAGGACAGCCAGGCAGGTGTTGAACACAAGCTTTGTTTTTACGTGAGGTCGAGCTTCTGCACAGCACTGTAGGGAGTTGGAGTTTTAGGCATTCAGGAGTAATTATGAGATGAAAGTGAACTGTCTCATGATAGGAAAGGATAGCTGAAACTGAGGCAAGATAAAAGGTGTGTGTGACAAATACAGTTTTGCTGTCAAAATGAGGCTCAAAGTGGTTTTATAAAATCGGGCTGTGAAGAAAAAACACAAACAAAAGCTTCAGATAGTGAATACAAAGGAATCACATTATCAATAAAGCTTATAAAATTGATAACAATATATACCTTATGTACAGTTAATGTTAGTTCATAAAAGTAAGGAGTTTCTCAACACTTCAGTACTGCAGATAGTGACAGGATTTCTTTTCTTTCAAAAAAGTTTCAAAGTAATTTGAAAATAACTTTTTAGCCAAAGTCACTATTACAACAATTAGGATAAAATCAGAGGTAGCAGCGGAATTAGGATCTCTTGTTCTTTTTTTCCTTTTTTAACTTTATAACATTTCTTCATTTTCCTTCCTATTTTTGCTTACGGGGTATTGCGTGCTTAAATCAGAATCTTCATTTTCATCTTAAAAGACCTTCCTGACAGCCTGCTTTAAATACTCACGCACCCATGAGCGCACTTCAAGTGGTTTTGAACAGACACCAGTGTCGTGACACTCAAATATGCACACGCTCTCTCACACACAGACACACACACACACTGTTTCACACACAGACATATGTACAATCTCACTCTCACACACACTCACATGCCCCGCTCTTATCTATATTCCTTCATATATTTTCTTCTTTACATCACAGTCTCTCTTTTCTTGTCCCTCCTTTTCCTTCAAAACCGTTTGGCTTAGTGGTCTGGAAGGGTTGTGGTGCTGGTTTTGGAGTCTTTCATCATGTCGAGGATTACAGACAGAAGGGATACGGACCTTCTGGGTTGTTTATTTAATTGTCACTCTGTGCTTCCTCTCTTACCCAGCAGCTGTGATCCTCAGTCCTGGGAGGACAGTGGCTCTGAATCAATGTTTTGCTGCATACCCGGCTTTTGGATGTCTGTCCAGCCTCAACATAACACTGATTAATAACCTTTCAGCGCTGTGACACACCTTCAGTCCTCTACGAAGCCCTTGCAGTGCTGCAAAATACGCAGCGTCCAGCATTAGTTGAAAGAGCTCACTGCAGTCAGAGTCTGCTGGCCTGGGTGGGTTCAGGACTGATAAAAGTGGTGGTAGTGGTGATGGTGTTCATGGTGGTGGTGATGCTCATGCCGCTGCACCACTTGTGCCAGTCCCCCCTCATACAGAAGCACGCTGGGCAGGTCCCGTACCTGCTCCCTCTCCACCACCGGTCCTGGAGCAGCCAGAGGGCCTTGCAAGGCCCTGTGAGCCTGGTTGTCCTTTGACCGCTGCTTGTGCTTGCGGTACGGAGCCGTGGACTGGTGAGGGGGGGTCTGGCTGGGTAATGCCGGTGGAGGAGGCGCACCTCGACTCCTCATCACCCTTCCGCTGATCTGCGCAGGTGGTGTGCGGCTGTGCGTCTTGGGGGACCGGAGGGCGTGTTTCCCTGAGTCTTGGCCTCGTGTACGGGAGTGGTGGAGGCTGTCTGGGGAAACAGTGTCCATAACAGAGTGCAGGCGGCGGTGATGGGCATGTGAGTGACCGTTTTCAGGCTCATGTGAGCGAGAGCGAGTCTGGTTGGATGAACGGGTCTGAGGCTCTGCCTTTGAGGGCTCTGTGGCAGTGGCTGTGAGGAAAACAGACACAAGTATTAGTTTTATTTTCTTAGTCTGGAAGGACCATCATTAAATGTAATGAAAAAGCATAAAACTTAAGGTTGCAGAGGACAATGCTTACTCTGTTTTAAACAGGTAAAAATGAATTACATGGACACAAAATAACATTTAAAAAGGGAGAAAAAGAACCACAAATAGATATCTACTAAAACTCTCCGTGATGAGATCCTGACATGTCTTCTTCAGCCTTCCTCTTCATGCAGATAGCGCTGACACAAAGTGGCACAGGGCAGATCTCTGTTAGCACTTTCCTAACAGGACCAACATTAACATAATCACATGTCATCACTGCCCATCAGATCAAGGCTGCTGCTTATTAAACCTAATATTTCACTTCACAACAGTCTGCTCTGCTGATGGGCTTTAGCCTTGAACACTTGATGTATTGTGCTTGTCCAAGCCCAGATGTTTGTACTGGCGAGGAACGCAGTGGGCTGCTAGTTCCACCTAATGGCTCCAAGCAGGTGCCGCAGTAATGAGGGCCCCTGGATACAGCTTCAAAGGGCCACGGCCTGTGATTTTCCCTCCCCTCTCCCCCTCTACGCCCCTGGCTCCGGTCCACTCACCGGCTCCGAAACGGGATGTGTAGTTTTCAATGCCTGCCAGGTCCAAGTAGTGGTTCCTGCGTTCCAGGTTCTCATCCACACAGTGGCGCTGGCAGCCCGGCTGGGTGTGGTGGTCACTGTGGTGGCGCCTGTGGACAAGAGCGGCACCTCTCATTAGGTAGCAGTTTTGGCCTGAGAGGTTTAGTATGGTAGTGTTTGGAAAAAGTCAAACAAGTGTTCTTTATGACCCAGCTGCAGCAGAGCAATTGTTAAAAGAGTGAGATTACAAGTGGAAAATCACAGGTTCGAACCCTAACAGGGAGGATTTAAATAGTGCTGTAAAAGGGCAGACTCGCCTCTCTGCTGTTAACACATACAGTGGAGTAATTAAAGAGGAAAGCACCACTGCCAGTCCCAAGTGTGAATCTTTTCTCAAACAACCTCAGCTCCTAAATGCTGTAAATATGAGAGCGCTCTATCAAAATATAAATGTCAAATTCACTGATACACTATGACATACTCTTTTATTGACACTACAAGATTCAACAACAGAAAACTGAGCCGTGCAGGGGAAGCGGGTTTACCTTAGGAGAGCTCGACTTTTCTTGTCTGCACTCTTGGGGTCGTCTATGCACTTGTCGTTTTTCTCTCTGGGGTGGGACATGTCTGCGTGTGTGAGAGAGAGAGAGACACGAGGCTATTATCAAAGAGAGTTCTGCAGAGCAGCAACACACAAACACACAAACACACACACACACAGACATGGCAACAGTCACACAAGCTTGAGAAGAAAGCAACCTTTGTTTTGGAGTTTCACTTTGAAGATCTATAGAAAAGAAAAACAACAATGCTTCATTTATTCTATTTTCAACCCGCAGCCTCTTATAAGGCACAGAAGGAAACAAAAAAACACGCAGAAATAGATTATTAAGGACGGGAGATCTGATGCACTTTCAAATTAGCATGAAGGCAACCAACGATACTTTCAAAGCCGGCTCTGTTTGAATCTCTTGACAGATATTTATAGCTGAAACAATAGGACCCAAACAGAGAGGAATGTATACTTTTTTGAGATATTTTTTTTTCCCTGACTACTTGTTTACCAAGTCGTAAGAAAAGTTAAGTTGAACGTAGCTATATTTTCCCGGCAGCTCTAAGAAGGGGGGAGGAAGAGAGGCAGGAAAAAAGGGAACTTTGGAGAAAAAGAAAAATGGCTGTGGTTATCAAAAGGACCCAGAACATCTCTTAAGGTTTCTTTCAGAGTATTTGAAGACGCTGAGGGAAGGGGCCCTCTCTTAGCTCTGTCACTCCCCCCCATCATTAAAAATGAACCCCATTGAGTGAGAGAGATGGGGCGACGCCGAGGCTGCGAGGAACAAAGCTCTGACAGGCCTGAAGCAGCCGCCTTTCTGCATGACAACAAACACATCTCTGGGTGAGCTGACAGCATGCAACACAAGAGGGACCCCGAAATGCCCTCCTTTTTTCTCCGCCCCCACCCGTCGTGCTAATGTGAGTCTTACCTGCTGCACCCTGTGTGCAACTCCTCCACCGCTGGCTGGAGTCAGGAGCCACTGAAAGCTTGACCCGCAGCGTCTTGCTGCTGCTGGGAGAATGGTTGACTGAGGCGTCCACGACTTCATAGATGGTGTGTAGAAGGCTGGTGATATCCTGCAAGACGTGGAAGTCAGACGTTGAGTTTAGCCTCTGTATTTTCCCACTCGGCTCATATAAGAGATTTAATTGGTCACCAATTATAAAAATCATCCTAAAAAGTATCAGGAGACATAGGTGGAGTGACTATTGGTGCTAAAAAAAAGTCAAAGTTTCTCATCAATCTACTGCTTGAAGTGTTTGTTCAGGAGCTTTGTTCTCGGTGTTAAACCTCACGATGGAAAGGTGTTTTAAGATTTCCCTCAGACAAAAGAAAAAAGTGATGAGACACAGATGCCTGTTGTTGTAGTTCAGCTCTCCAAGTGAAGCGATCAGGCAGGGTTATAGACAGGTCATAAACTCCAGTCAAATCTCTTAGCAGCAGCAGAGGAGTCTGACTGAGATGTCGGAAATGAAAGGTGACGGATGCAAACAATTTCTTATTAGAGTTTGAAATAAACAGAAATATTTAACAAGTATCAATGTTGTGCTATTCAGTTAATCCAATCGTCCAATCGTGCTGCGGACACTAATCATAAAGTCAAGGTGAAATTCTTATTTCCAGCGAACTTTGTGCGTGTGTGTTTCATCGTGGATCAATGGATAAAGCAGTACTTTGAGAAATCACTTGATACAGATCTCTCTGGACTGCCTTCATTTACATGTAGCTTTTTAAAGGCTGCAGTTTTTGCACTGTTTGGAGTCTGTATGAACCGTACTGAGCTAATGACTCCCTCTTCTATAAAGTGTGTTACATCTTTTTATAACAAACTGAGCTACAGCTTTTGAAAGAAAAAAAATCACCTGGGATGGAGGTGAAAGGACCTTACTGAAGCAATGTCTCAGATTCTTATTTAAAAAAATGATGTTACTTTGGACAATGACATGACTTCATCCTAGAGCTCCTTAAAGAAAACTGAAGAAACTTAGACATTCACCACAAATCCTGCAGCATGATTTTTTCACTCCGAATATCACAAAAAGACCTATCGTGATTCTTTTGGGACTGTTTCAGACATTGTCGCACTGCAAAAACTCGACATAAAATGAAACAAACTGAGAGCTGTTTTGACATTTTCTGGCTTCCTTTAATTTTCTTATTTGTCTGAAGAGATAAAAATAAAAAAAAGTTGGAGAAGAAAGCTTCTGTATCCCCCCCTTCAAGCCGCCGCCCGCCGTCTCATGAGCCACAGAGCCACAGGCAATGCCAAAAAACTGCACAGCTAACCACACAGAGGACAGCTTCAGTCTCTTTGCGCTGTTTCTAGTTGTTTTCAAAAAAACACAAGCCTTTCTGGATGTTCTCTCAGATCTCTACCAGGCATGAGCAAGCCACAAGGTACCTTGCAGGAGCGGAAACACAAAGATGTCACTAAGTTTAGTTTTTAGAGTGAGACTGAGGTGGAGGTTTGTAAACTCTATCTTCACATAGTCGGGAGGTGTGGTCTCACCAGAATAGCTTCAAGTTTTCAAGTATGAGGCAGATAAATTCCGATAACATAGAGAAAGGTGCTACATTTTGTAATTGTGAGATGTCCACCAAAGATTTTAGAGGCACTTAAAATATTTTAATCCAAAAGTTTTAATTTAATTTAGATTTAAGTAGTTTGTGTTGATTTTAGCTGTTTTATAACCAATTAAAAACTCCTCAAAGTGATTTAAAACCCCAATTTTATGACAAAAAATACTATCATGAGTCTGACAAAAGCAACAGCCACAAAGACGACAAGCTAAATCATTTGCAGACAGTGGATGGACATTATGGGCGAAATTTATACCATGGAAAGTCTAACTTACAACTTGGGGCTGGACATGTCTACCTTTCATCAAAAATGGAGGAAATGGACAGCGTTTAAGGAGCTTGATGCTTAATAAACAGACTATGTGGACATCTTTGTTAACCAATGGCAAGATAAGGAGTAAGATCTGCCCCCCGTGTTCCTGTGCTCCCTTTTTCTTTTCTTTTTCTCTTCTTTTTTTTTGAAAATGGTTGTAAAGAAATTATTGTCTTGAACCATGCTATACTGAAAAATAAAGTAAAAAAAATTAATCAATAAAAAAATAATTTGCAGACTTTAAGAATAAGAATAACTTTATTTTATCCCTGAAGGGAAATTCAATAAATAAATTCAACTTTATCATTTACTGTGTGATGCTGAAGTATTATTTTTTTTAACCTTTCATCAATTTTACTCATCTCAAAACAAACATCACTTTGAGTTATGATCGTTACCTCTCTGGTGACTTTTCCATTGTTGTCAAAGTCGTAGAGGGTGAAGGTCCACTCCTGCCTGTTATCCTCCTCAACAGACACGGCACACTCCAATTCCTGAAAATCATTCAGTGTATATGTGAGCATTTATGTGCATGTGTGTGTTTGTGCCCTGCCAATGCCCTATTTAATCCAGAGAGGAAGTCATACACATCCTATTGGTGTCGACACTCACTTCAAACTGGAGCTGCTTCTGTGGCCCTGTGGGAGATTGGCTGTCCCTCTCCTGCATCTTCTCCTCCACACAGCAGCTGTCTGTCTTCTCTGGGGGTAAAGCCACTAAAATGAAACACACACACACACACGCACACAGTAAGAGATAAAAGTAAAAGCCTGAGGACGGAAACATGTGCCGTTTCAACCTGAGGACATGTCGCTGCCTTCAAGTGTACCAAGTAAGCCTGACTTCCAGGTTTGGCATCAACAATTAAGATGTTTTACACATACAATGGTGAATGGTTGAAATAAACCCACAAGCCTCCTCATAGCAGCTTGTGCTTTCATGTTGCATCTTATACTAATACTAACATTTAATTTTAATGTGATGAGTTAATTATTACACATTTTCTGTGAGCAGGAATATTGTTGAATTTAAATAATGATGTGGAGATAATAGAGGAAGTAGATTTCAGTGCAAAAGAAAGAAAAAAAAAAAGACATTGCAGCTGCGACAGCTCGCGTTCATCAAAATACAGTGATAGATTATAAGCTCTTAACTGCATTATATACCCCACAGGGTTCACACTGAGCTGGGATGTCAAACATGAAACTGAATGACATTAACACATCTTCAACACGACTGAATATTAGGTGGCATCGGGATAAAAATGGTGGATTGGAAACAGCGTGTGAACATCAAAAGGCCTATAGGAGACCCCAGAGTCCCCAGCGCAGTGCAGCAGAGCTCATCACTTTATGGAATGACATTCACCGTACATTACCATCCAGACATCCAGTAACAGCAGACAGTCCAGAGGGAGGACTACTCATCTGTCATATCCACTTAAAGTGATGATCTGTGTGGAGCCTGACTTCATTTTCTATATCCTGGAAGTCAGCAGTAGTTTTTTCCTAGTATGAATGACAACACTGATTCCCTCAACAGGACTGAAACTGAGGGTTTCCTGCTGAGGTGAGGGGAAAAGACCAGACGCCTTCAACAAAATCAAAGGAATTAACTATTTGTTGTCATAAATCAAACCACGGTGACAGTCTAGTAAAATGAACACCGTATAACATTAGGTATGTTTCAACAATCCTCAGTGTTAATTAAAAGATAAATAAATAAGGCTAAAACTATTGAAGACTCACTCCGATGAAAATCCCGTTTTTCTTGTTGTCTACATGATCATATGGCATTTTTCTGATGCTACAGGATATGTTGTGAGAAAACTAAGTGCTAAATTGCATTTCTGAGTATTTCTGCATTCAAATAATTGTGAATCTCTAGCAGACTCTAACAGCAGGATCAGAGTGAGATGTCATACGTAACCAATCCGAGCTCCGCCCCCGGAGCCCTGCTATGCAGGCCACACTCGGATGAGTAGAGAGGACAATCGCGGACGAAGCGCGCGAGTTAGCAAAGTGCAATGCTCATTAGAAAGCTAATTATGATATTAACTTGATTAGTTTCCCGAGAGTTGAACAGCTCCTATGTTGCCTGTTTCTTCTACTACACCGGGAATGTTAGGCTGCACACTAGCATTTAGAGGAGTGTGCAAGACCAGCACTGTCTCCGCCCACGACTCAGAGGCGAATTGCTAATGACCTACTCGAGCTCTGCCAAAGTAAAGCCCTTAAAATCGACACAGGTAACACGATTTTAGCTAAAAACTTGAAAAAAATGATCATAGTGGGACTTTTATAACTTTTTTAAAAGCTTAAAGCAGGTGTTCACTGATCAGTTAACTTCTTCTGTTGTTATGTCTGTGTCAGAGTTTGCGCTCGTGTATCTTTGGATTGCACTTCAGTGAAAGGTGGTCCATCCTGTTGGACAAAAATAGCTGTGGCACTCTGGATCAGTGTTTCAGTTTCACTGTCTCTGATGTAATGCTGACAGTTATTTGTTTACAGTATCTGTTTAACACGTGAGACTGACCGCACATACACACACAACAACAGGTTACAGAGATTTGGACAGTGACCATGTTGGTTCCTTTGCAGCACTCTTCTCCTTCTTCGTTTCTTCTACATGTTAAAGTGTATTTTCCCAAAAGCCTGTCAGTGGGTTTACCTGCCCGCAGCATTTCACTTTGCACAATCACCGTCCTCCCTGCCTCCCTCATCCAATCACTGCTCTGCATGCTGCACACACACCCACAGACAGACAGACAGACCACACCCCCTTCTCTCCACTCTCCCCAGCAGTTCTCTCCATCCACCACACTTTGAAGTCCCATTCTCAAACCTTTTGGAAGAGGATCAGACCGGCTGTAAAACAGAATCACTAATTAATTAAGCCAAGTCAAATCTGAAACACTGTTTGTTTGCTCGCCAACGGAGCAGACACAACAGCCCAATTTCTTTCCTCCTGATCCAAAGCAGATCAAAGCAGACCTGTCTCGTCCCAGGGTAGGGGAAAATGCCAGAAATGAAAGGCATCATCCCAGGGAGCTTTTACCAACTTTTTGGAGAGGAGCAGCATTTGGGGTCCCGCTGTTTGATCATCTGAGGTGCTCAAAGGGAACATTGTGTGCGAGGGCAAATCTGTTCCGTAGCAGGCTCAATATGGTGGTGCGATGCTTATCTAGAAGCTAATAAAATGCCGGGAGGAGTAACAGTAATCTGCTATCACCCTCCTCCCCCTGGCCAACACCCCCTCCTCACCACAGACATAAGCCTCCTTTTTATGAGAGGAGCTGAGCCAGGGGGATTGGCTGCACATCAGATCTGAGGGGCAAGACGAGGGCAGCCGAGGCAGGCACCCTCCCAGCCAAGGCTGTTCCAGCAGCCGCGCTCTTCACCCACGTGCGTGCGTGTGTGCGTGCGTAACACTCAGACACACACAAGGAAAGGAAGGCAGGTCAGGAAAAGTACCTCACACTGTGAGCGATCACACACGGCTTTAATGTGTTACTGTATTACAAATAACAAGGTCTGTCTCACTGCACACAGTCTCCTGAACAGTTTAGATTGAACAGATCAGCAGTTATTGGGATATTTTAGGTAAAGCTTTGATGGCGATTGAAAGGATTTCTCCTCCTTCGGTATCACCCACTGAAGGGCCCAAAAGCAAGACATTCAACCCTACAGGTCCCTTTTAACTTTTTCATGACCAACAGTATCAGACTGTGGTAGGGGGAATTCATTGTAATCATGGATGAATGAGAGTCTTTTTGAAAACTCCTCTCTTCAAGTTTAAAAAGACTCAATAAAAACTTTGTGCAATCCTCTTAACACGCTGTTGAACCCCCACTCATTACAGAATAAAGAAATTACTCATCTAACCTTCTCTCAAAGTTCTGTGTTATACCCACTAAACTATCATACATTTCTTGAACAGGAGCTCTCATGTCTACCATGTCTACTCTCACTGCTGTCCATCTCTTTTTTTACTCTTAGTCACGTAAACAGTGTGGACAATGGACCTGACCAATGCATTACATGCAGGTCATGTATAGGACATCAGAAATCCTCCACAGCTGTCTTTACTTGGTGTCTTTGTGTGCCAGTGGGAGCACTAAATGTCTTCTTATGTAAATACGGGGACAACATATTCAAGTTTAATGTAAGGAACTTCTTCAAAGACACACTGTTTTCATTTTAGAGAAATACAAACTAAAAGGATTCTCTGGAGGATGGCAGAACTGGGCGATATGGCCTCTAATCAATATCACGATATATTGAGCAGTTCACCTCGAAAACAATAAATGGACGATAACTACTCCACAAGCTGCTCACCTCCTCCCACATTAACTTGGTCTACTTCAGCTATAACTTTTGAACCGTCCTCCATCTCCTGTCTTTCTCTCTTTGTTACGGACTGGATGGGGCGGAGTCACATCTCTGATATAGGACAGCATCTTAAAAGGGACATGAGACCATAGCCTACCTACACACATCCAAAACAAACTTTTATCTCTTCATTTTTTTGTTACCAAATATACCAATATAGGCAAAATGACATCGATTATTGTCGTAAAATTCAGTATCGGTAAATTTGGTTTATCGCCCTGCCCTACCTCTGACTTCTGTTTACATTCCAAACAATGACACATGCTTCAGAAGTCTGAAACTTGTCAAACCTCTTCTGGTATGACACTAAACTATTTCTTGTCATATGCTACTCTACTGTACCTGCAGTGCAAAGCAGGGTAGTGTAACTTGTATCCTGCAATTTTCCCAAACTAGTCTTTTGAAAGATCTTTTGACTCCTCTAAATGAAATAAAGAGATGAGACTTTGCTTTTTTTTACGTTTGAAATGTGAAATAATTTTTACACAATTTCAGAAGTGTTCAATTGATAAAAAATCATTTATGGCTTCCTCTTTTAGTCAATAAAAATGATCAGGGTGATATGGTCAAATAAGCAGCCCACTGATCAAAAACCATGTGATATCTCTTTGTCTTTCAGTCAGTGGAGCAGAGATGAAACAAAAGCGAATTTTGTGTGGTGTGTTCAAATTCTGGGCTCTCTCAACTTGGCATTTCTGTCTCCACCTCACGTTCAATCTCGTCTTTAAATGGGAGGGAGAGACTTTCTCCCCCTGGAGCTCTTAATCCAGGATCACATCACATCAGGGAAAAAACATGGAGGAATGAAGGCACTTTGCAGAGCACCAGGGGGGAGGGATGGATGAGAGACGAAAGAGCAGGAGGAGGAGGAGGAGGAGGGGATGGAAGGTAAAGGGGACCTCATCAGCACATTGTTAGGGTTTAACGAATGGGTGTGGTGCAGAGAAGAGAGGGAGAACAACTTCAAAATACACACTCACAAAAGTACCTGGAGGGTAAACGTGAACAGTGTTTGTGGAGGTTTTCATTCATGTTAAAATAAAAGTGACCAATATGAGTGAAATCAACCAATAAGGCCTTTGGTCATAGTGAATAACAGGAGGCCTACCTTCCAAACGGTAGTGTTCATCACCGATTCCCTCTGCGCATGCTTCTTCCAGAGAGCCCTGGGAAAGAAAGAATGAAAGCAACACATAAATCACTGTTTCAGGTCTCATAAAGAAGAAGAGGAATCATATTTTTGTCACATAAAAACAAACATCTTTAACGGTGCAAATCCACAGCACAGCTTTCCAACACTAGAGACATGCCCAAATCAAAATTACAGCGTTTATGTATCTATATATGCACAGTTTGACAACTGTGCACTCAGCCTAAACAGCAGCGGAAAGTTTACGAGGAGGATAATTGCAGGACTGAAACAAACTGAGCATATGACTGGCAGTCAGAATTGAAACTATGAAAGAAGTATCTAAGTCGCTGTCGCCGGCCCTGCAGGGAATTCTGAGAAAGAGGGCTGGTAGTAAGGCTATTTCCGTGGCAGGAAAGCTAACGTTGCAGGGGGACGTTCAGCGGCTTGTTTTCATCCCGGACTGTTTTCACCCTGGCCTCCTCTCCTGGCAGCTCTGTCTGGTAGTGCATACCACAGAGACTGGAGGGACATGTGATCCCTGGGGCTTCACTATGGAAAAGTCTGGCTCAGGTATCCATGTGGCATTACAGTCATCTGGCCAAAAAACCATTACTCACGGGCTGACAAACACATATGCATGCTCACATCCATACGCACTTAGTCCAACACATACACACATTCAAAGACCCACCCTGCGCTTCACTGCCAAATTCAGCTACACCCAAACCACCTAAATCATTTCAGCCACACCTGAAAACAAGAAAAATGTATACTAAGCAAAATACTGAGAGGTTTCACTAGAGGTGATTAATGTCCTCAGTCAATCCGTCAATAATTCACTTCATAAAATGCATCTTTAAGTATTTGTGTCTGACACTATGTGTTTACACGTGTGTATGTGTGTATGTTTGTGTCACTGGCCAGACTGTGACAGCATGAGAGGAGATTTCTGTGTAATCCAGAGAGGTAGAAGGTCAGACGATGTGATCCCACCCTCCTCTGAGTAATGCCGGCCGGGCTGCAGCACAGTGGGTGGTCAAAAGAAGAGAATACAGTGAACCACAGAAATAACTGGCTGGCTGTCAGACTGATACCCTGAGGCAGAGACCCTGAATAAATCAGTGTTTGTTGCTGGTATGAATGGGTCAACATACATTCTAATCTGGCCTCATAACCCTGGTCCCGGGCCATCTGAACATGGCCTGCTTTGGTCTGACAAAAAGGACATCAGTAACATTTGAAAGGGTCAGTCCAGAATAAGGAAGTTGATCTCTTAAACGGTACAGTGAGGATTTTTTAGATTTGTGGGGATGATAAATTCACCATAATCATTTTCAATACTTAAAACTTTGTAGGTGGTAGGTGTCAGACTAGATGATTGACATCGAGCTGAAAAAGCAGCTATTTTTGACTCTTATTTAGTGCTGAACGATTTCAGGAAAAGATCGAATTACGATTTTTCCAGCAGCAATTGCGATTTCAATTCGATTCACAATTTTCTTCAAATCAAGCTGCAGTGCAACATTCACAATGTGTACAGTAACATTTACAAATCTAGACACAAAAAGCTGTTACTTTAATACAAGAATGAAAACTAAAGATAAGAATTGTGGATGGAAAGCCAACCTTCACATTTAAAAGAAAATGGAGTCATCCCTAAAGGTGACGTGCTCAAGAAACTACCCACACCACAAAGACTTGGTGGTTCAACCAGAAGGGAGCATAAGTTCATATTCTCCTGCAGCATCAGCATAGATGAGAAAATGATAAACCATCCAGCCCTACTCTCATTGTTCCATTGTTACAAGACAATAGGACGGGGTTTCTGTCTGAAAATACTACAAGACAGGACAAGAGGAAGGAGGTACCACTTTGACTTCGGGGGTGGGTGGGTGGGTGGGTGGGTGGGGGGCTTTTTAGGTTGTTTTTACTGGACCTAAAAAGCATGACTTTTAACGTTCTACATATCAACATCATGTTGCTGTTTAATCGGCCGACAGTCATACTCAACGTTAACACCATTCTTTAATGGGTCAGCCTAAGAGAGACAGAAAGAGATTTGGGGATGACATGTGATCAGGAGTTGATCTTGTAGCTGCTGCATCTGAGAACCACAGCCTCTGCACATAGAGTCATGACCAGGCAGATGGGCTCCTCTGACACGGTCATACTTGTTGAATCATTTTTTATTTCAAAGGTCAAGCCGAAGTTATATTTAACATTTCTTACAGCTCGTGTTTAATTCTACATAGAAATAGTGTATTCAACATTCTTCGATGTGTACTTTGGGTGCTTTTCATCTGCACCGAACCTCTTTATAACAGACAGCTGTCACAGGTTATCTGTATGACTGGTCATCTCTTTTAGCATTAAAAGTTCCTGAGATGTGGTCAAACCTATGTCATGGTGTCTATCTAAAAAGGGTATTTGCCTGCAGTAATATCAACAATACCCTCTGCTTTCAATCAGCTCTCAGAAGAACTAAATCCCTCCTCCATCAGCATTCTTTCAATTCCTTACACACATGCACGCATACACCTACAAACACACAGATTCAACATCTTGAATGCATTTCTGGTTTTTGATGAATGATTCAGAATTATTCCAGGGTTGACCAGAACATGAGAAAAAGGGGGATGAGGAATTTGCTAATTGGTTGTTGTCTATGGTGATGGATGAGAGCCGTATTATGAGGAAGCTAGGGTTACACTGGAGTTTACTCTGGGCAGTTAAAAAAGAAAATTCCCCATGCCTTTCCACTCTGAATACACACATACACACACATACACACTCTCTCTACCCTTCTTTCATGAGAAGTCTCTCACCACCAAGAGAAAAGGTTATCCCTTATTGAAGCAGCAAAAAAGCAAAAATTTTCAGTGTCAAAAATCTGCCCATCTCACAGCAGGATTACAAAATATTCAATATGTAATGATGTGAGTTAAAGAGTCTTCATCTGCTTTGCATTTTGAATTCATGTAGTTTTGAGTGAAGGACTGTGTCCATTTCCCCACATTGGCTTTTATCAATCTGTCAAACTTGGCTCTGCTGTCCCACTGTGGGTTTTTCCAGACGGACTGACCCGATGACAAGACCACTTTCAGCCAAGCTCCCTGGTTTCAAGTTTGGACAGTGATTGATTAGATTGTCCTTTGACAAAAACAACATATAGGATTTCTAAAAATAAGACGCATTTGTGTCTGAGTTTCCTGTGTTCCCACCAGCCGAGAGTCACAAAAACAGAGAGGTAACTTTCATGACCCAGCTCCATGACAGCCAAACGTTAAAGGCAGAAGTAGCTGATCTTCCCAGACCTTAAAGGTATCTTTATCTCTTTAATCCCATCAGCACCTTGAATAATGCACTTTATATCCCTGTCACTTCTCTGTGCTGTGACAAACACAGCCTGCTTTGTTTTTAGATCCTTCATCTTCCTGACACCTTTTGGCTTCATCTCCTTTAACTGACTCATATTGAGATACCCTGACTCACTAATCTACCAAAGTGTACAAGAGCCTGTGTGAGTGTTAGACAAGAAACAAATCAGACTTTCTCTTTTTTTTCTGAGAGGTGAAAAGTGCAACAGAGCATGACTTCACATTGAGCATTATATAACAAACAAAAGCAGAATGTCTGATTATAAAAAAGTGTCAAATGTAATCATCTTCAACAGACCAAAGGCTGCATAAAAAGCAGAGTCAAAGAGAGAGGATCTGACCGGCTATCTTTCATAAAGAGAATCCTAGTGCATGTTTTAGTTGGTGTTAAACATTAAAGGAAGTCAGAGGAGTTGTGAAAGCCACAGAGAATGACGGCCTGAACTCACTCTCTTCATTTTGATTTGAACCCAAAAAGCTCAAAGTGGATTTGACCAAAGCTGCAACGCTGGTCACCCCCGTCTTCAAACCATTTCTCAACTAATGAGTAAAGACGAGTCTGAACTGATGCAACGTTTGCTAACAATTAGTAAAACTGAATTACACGGGCTGCAAATAAGAAGAACAGGTCTGATTCAAGCACATGTATGCATGCATGACGACCACGATAAATAAATACACGAGTGATTTGAAATCTACCGTTTGTGTTGCTTGTCTTTCAGCAAACCAGTGATGGGCTTCTTTTGGACCCCCACTAATTTAAGGGTCAGAGGACCACTTCAAGCCTGTAGTGGTGTGTGAGTCAGTGCAAAGGAGTTTCTTTATACTGTGGTCATTTTATGGGCAGTGCTGCGAAGTAGGGATGAGCGATATGGGCTAAAAAAATTTATCACAATAAGATTTGCTATTCTAATGATAACAATAAAAGTCCCGATAAAAAATATTATAATTCCAATCTATATTTTTGACTCATTTTGTCTTCAGAACACCAGTTGGAGTAGTCAAATAAGATACCTAACCACAAGTTTAGGTGGTAGGTTCTGGAGAAAACTAATGACATCAAGCAAGTCTCAAATGTGAAAACATTTTCAACATTTGTTGAAAACTCTTATTGCAGAGAGTGAACAGCAGCAGATCCGCTGTCCGATGTCTTGAAGAAAATCCCTCATGTGGAGCCTCGTTCTGTCACGAGCTGCTTAGAAATGACTTCTTCATCCCCAACGGCCATGTTTGTTTGTTATTCTGCTCTGTGTGGGCTATGGCTGTGAGTCGAATGCTCGCCCTTGAGTCATCAATGTAATTTATCGCCCATCCCTACTGCAAAGGCCCTGACTATAAGAAAACAACGAGACTAGGTGACATTGTTGTCTTTCCCCTCTGCTCTCTCTCAGTTAGCAACAGACATAAACATTACACATGTTTTTAACGGACCCTTGAAGACCCGGCACATGTCACAGTGTGAGGAGAATTAGAGGTGGAGGCTGCAGCAGGAACACACACACACACACACACACACACACACACACACACACACACACACACACACACACACACACACACACACACACACACACACACACACACACACACACACACACACACACACACACACCAGGCCCTAAAAAAGGAGCATGACTTAAGCTGCTTTAAAGTCCTCAAAAGCATAACTGCTGTGAAGCAATCAGACAATAACCTTTCAATTTTGACGTTTGCCACAAAGTTACCAGCACTGACCTCATCTTCATCTAAATCGATGGCTGCTGCCAACTCTCATCACATTTCATTCAACCAAGAAGCTTCTGGTTTTTCAAAGACTGCTACTTTTCAATACAAAAAGTATTGTACTGTTTTTAAGCTTGTGGTATTAAAATTTTGTTGAAAAGTATCACAATACTGGAAATTCTGGTGGCCTAAAGTCAGACATTCAGGTTTCGAGCAGACAGGGACATCATCTTTTATGCGGCACAAAGGAGAGAGCTGAGATCACCTTTATTTGGTTCTGATTGTGTGAGGAAAATGAGTATAATTAGGTTGTAAATTCTGTCATGAAGAATGGCAGAAAATTTGAATATACATAACAAAACTGTTCCTCATTAAGCGTCCCAACTTTAAAACATGATCCATTAGCTTTTTTCTGAGGCACACAGCTGCCAAAACACTTTTCTAGACTTGATGTGTAATGTTCTGTGGAGTTCATCACAGAAAACTTTTGACCGCAGCCTGGTCCTTGAAACATTTTTCAAGCCTCCAGGACAAGTGCTTGCATGGCTCCTCCTGTGTGTTTATAAGCTGTTAAGGCCCCGTCTGAGAGAGTGATTTATTAGTGGACTTTAGCACAAGACACAGTGTGTTTGTCCCATTACAGCCTCTCGTACATCACTCGCCCGTTTGAAGGCGTTAAGCTTGGCTAACCTCGTCAATGGCATGACTGAAGAATATGAATTTTTGATGAGCCAAAAACGGATCAGCATTTTTAATAGAAGTCATGTTTACTGAACATTTACTTAAACCTGTTTCTTTAAAGCTGTTGAATTCTTTTCATTTAAGTATGTTTTACCTCACAGAGAAAACATCTTTGCCTTGTTGCTTATAAGCTTTTGGTAAATTACCGTATTTTCCAGACTATAAGTCGCACTTTTTTCAAAGTTTGGCTGGGTTTGCAACTTATACTCAATAAAATACACAATTTCATATATAATTAGGTCTTGGATTTTGTAAAAATAAATTTACCCCAAAAAATGCGACTTATACCGGTGTATGTTTTTTCTTCTTCATTGTGCATTTTTGGCCGGTGCAACTTATAGTCCGGAGAATATGGTAATGTGATAATGGCATGATTGATTGATTGAACCCTTAAGACAACAATATGAGTTCATCAATGTAAAATTAAGACAAGTTTCAAAATATCAAAACACTTTGGTGTCAAATTCAGATAAAAGAGCAAACTGAATTTTATAACTTACAGAAGCAAACATCTCTTCTCAGGTTGAACTTGTGCTTTGAGTTAAACCAGATTTAAACTAACTGTATTTAGCGCAAAGACAGAATAAACACAATATTTAAGAGAAAAGGCTAAATTGTTTGACGCAGTAATTGATGCACAAAAATACAACGTAGGTGGACAAGTGAAAACTTTGGCTTTAAATCAAAATTGGACAGGTTACTGTGCAGCATGAGTGCCATCATCACCTATCATGTCCAACTCGGTTCACGAGTCAAATATGACAAGCTTAATGTAAGCTCACTGACCTGGGAGTAGTCTGGTTTGTGAGTTGAATCTCAAATTTCTTATCTTTTGGCTTCTAAACTCAAGCAGTGAGCATGTATATGATTAATTCATTCAGTAATGTGGGCTGCTGATGTGGAGAATGGTGGGATTCTACTACTACTACTCAGCTAACCTAAACATAGTAAAAGAAGGTTTAAAAAAGATTGGAAATCCTCCTTGTCACTCAGTTTGATGATTCAAGTTCCGCTCTGTGATTATGGTATTGTCTTACTCCTCTGTTCAAGTTAAAGGACAGCGAGTCCATGCTGGCACAGACAGAGCGGCATGGTGACTTAAGACTGAAAGTTGCCTCCAGCGTCATCCTTACTCTGGCACTGTAGACATAGACCCAGTCTGTGTCTGAATGCAAAAGGGTACATGAAAGTGCAAGTAATATGTACTTGTATGTGATTGTGGGAAAGTCCCACAGGGCCTCTTGGTCTCTATGCTGTCTGCCTCTACGACCCGCCACACAAGCTGACAATTTATGCGGCCGACGACAGCTCCCCCTGATCGTGCGCCAGGGCTCAGTGGAGGCAGGCCTCTAGAGCAACAGCAGCACTACTGGCACTCCATCAAAACCCAGAAAAAATCTCATTAGGACTGTGGCTGGGTGTCTCTCCTGCTGCCTCCACCCTCTACTAAACACACCTTCAGGACTGCAAAGTTTGGGGCAGTGGCATCGACACAGAGCGAGGAGGAAAAAAAAACATGGGAGGTTATTTTGCGAAGTGGGCAAGTCAGGCGATGACAAAGATAAGAGAGGATGAGGAAATAAAACTATATTTACTGCTGAAGTAGCTGGCAGTCACATGAAAGCCATCCAGTGCTGGAAACAGAAAGTGAAAAGTCTGTTTTTTAACTTTTGACCTACTGGCCACAGCTGCTGCAGCACGGAGCTCACCCGCATTTGTACAGACTAAACAATAAATAACATCATAAAATACAAAAGGGGCATCGAAAGATATACAATCTGACACCGTGCTTTTCCTACATCAGGTATTGTATGACAAACTTTTTTTTCATGGCTTTATTTGGGTCTAAAAACTTCATGCACTTGGCAAATGAAATGATTTCAACAGATTCTGTCACGTCTGGATAGCAGCCACTAGCTTCAGTTTATGAATAACTAATGGTGAAAACAGCTGTGTGGCATGGGAAACTTCAAAACTCTGGAGTGTTAACAGTCAAGAGATGAAAGCTAAGAAGTGAGAAAAAAAACATATTAGTTTTAGAGCTGCAAATTAGCTTATAGGTGTAGCATTACCAGCTGAAGACCTGAGAAGAGGAAATACCCATCCCCCTCTGCCATCCCAAGGAGTAAAGTGAGATACACCGGAGGCAGTTTCAAAGAACTAAGCACAACATTTTGAATCTGGAGCAGTGCCTATCCTGCAACGTGTGGTTAAGTGTGGCGGCGGGGCTGCTGTAGGAGAAAAATAAACTCAGCAGACCACCGGTTATCATCACACTACAGTTTCAGTCCAGGGTCCAGTCTTTTGCAGTTTTTTTTGGCTGGACTACTCCTCACCTTCACGGCAACATTAAACAGACTTATTCAAAGCCCCATGTAGCTGTAAAACACAACGCCCTGAGATGGAGCCAAGATAGAGAGTGTTGATGTAAGGTAGTGAGGCGCTGCACCGCTTCAGAGTGAGGCTTCAAAGAGGGATCAGTTTTCACACATGAAATAAAGATCCCAGATAATCTCATAGCATAGCAAAACCGACGCGAGATAGTCCCATTTATGGAGGATGATGAGGAGATGAGGCCAATTTCATACAACACCTACAGTCGAAGAGCTATGGCAAAATAATCTCTGTGCATTCCTCTCTATCCAGACTGTATTTCTCAATCAAACGCATGATCAAATGAACTAAATGAGTTTGCTGCAATAGGAAGGATGATTTCTCTTTCCAAAGTTTCTAAGCTTAACAACAAATGCATAAAAGCGATCTCATGAGCAGCTTGCAGAGCCAAGAGGAAGTCCTATCGACTGTGTTCTAAGATAAGAAATGAGATACGAAATGGGATGCCTTCACAGAGGTCAGGGACAGTAAATCTTTTGAAGTTCAGTCCTTCAAAACATTTGCTATCACCTGAATGCTTTAAATCAAGAGTTAGCTAGAGAATATTTTTTATAAACATACTCTTGTAAATAATAGCATTAAACTATGCAACAAAATATTACGAGTTGGAGGCTCACTCAGATGGAAAAGTGTTCAAACACCATCAAGTGGTTACAAACACGCAACTTGAAACTACATGAAGGCCCCAAAACAAACACCACAGCTTTCTCTTCTGCATCTCAACCACTTTCTTGCCATGATCTCCCTTCAGGAAGAGAAATACTTAATAATTTTAGAGGATACCAAAATGGATGATTAATTGGAAATATGCCCTTTAACTCATTTAACTAGCATCAAAGACAGACAGTATCTCTCCAGACTCCACGGCCCCATGCCTGACACCCCTCAGTCATGGCACACACCCACCTCTCTTCCTGTAACCCAGGAAGGAAATTATAGCCGCAGAGTCAGGATCCATCATCAGGCAGGTTGGAGGAAGCTGCTCTATGATTAAAGTGTGCATGGTCAGCAACACCAAGACTGGAGGGGCTCAGGGGAGGCTGCACATGCCAGAGGGGCTTACCGTGTTAACTCTAGTTCACGACACAGGTCAGGCAGAGATTCTCCACACACACAAACACTGCGGAAAAACTTCAGTGAGGCTGAGGAAAAGCTGTTTGTATAGGGGAGGTGTGGTTCAGCAGTTTTGCTTTTAGCTATATATTAAGTCAAATTACACCATGTGTCTGTGTAAATGAACTCTCTGACATTTCTGGATGAGAGGTTGCAAAAGACACGTATCTGTAAAGTGTGTGAGCATGCATGTGTGTAAATTCCTCTGTACGTGTAGATTTGGCTTCACGTGCTGTTTGCTCCCTGAATTTATTCCCCCCAATGATTGGATGCGTTCCTATTGTGGAGCGATAGTGCACACAGCCAGCGCTCATTTCTTCACGTCAGATTTACATTGCAAACACTGCCGGTCACATTACCTCACCCACATCAAAGGCAGCCTCCTGAAAGGCTCAGTGGAATATTAGCAGAGATTTACAGCCCTCATCTCAGTGCTTCAGAAACATGCTGATCTGAAGTAATCTCCTTCCCCCTCTCTCTTTATGTGTTTTATGTGTGAAGTTGGCCAACACTTTAATGACCCATTTACAAAACTTTTACACCTGCAAAGATAAGCTCTTACAGCTCTGCCAGCCCCTTCGGGCAGTAAATCCTGCTTTTGACTCAAGGTAACAGCCTTTATTAGTGTTTTAAAAATATATAACCACAGCAATTTACATTTATCACGCCGTTTATCAAAGTATTATCTCACCAAAGAGGAGGAGAAGTAGAGTAAACTCCATGTCAAGATCAAAAGTCTAACTTTACTTTTTATTAACATTAATTGAGTTTTTTATTAGTCATTAGCTATGTTTGCATGCGCAAAATTTTTTGATCCAATTATAATATATAATAGATAATCTGAATCCACTGTTTATATGGGTGCAAAATCAAATAATCCGATCATGACGTGCACAAAGCCTTATTCAGATTAGAAGCATTTGGACATGTGCAAAGTTGTCTGATTTCACTAAAACAACCGCAGAAGAATAGTTGTATTGACGTCTGTGCTGTCAACAAACCAACAAACGCGGTAGTGGCTCACTCCATCCAATTCAGGATTTTCCCGCCTGTTAAATGTTGTCACTGGATGGTGCCCTTGCTTACTTATTTTACTGTTCTGTCAGAGGTTACGCTGAGCATGCAGATGTGACATCATTACGCTGTATGTACACCTTGTTATGTTACCAGAGGAGCAGACACAGCACATGCGGTTGGGTTTATTGCCAGAGCGTTAATAATGAAACCTCCTGTCCTGACCTCAATAAACAAAGAGTGAAGATCAAGTCAGGTAAGAGAGTCACGATCGGAGTAAGTGTTTAAATGGACACGTTTCGGAATAATGATTGGAATAAACCACCCCTCTCGATCGGAATAATTTTTTTCCGATTGAGCCGAATTGGATCAGAATCTTCCGATCGACATGTTTACATGATGCATTTTTATTCAGATCGGGCATTATTCCGATTTTCTGTGCCCATGTAAACAAAGCTAATGAGTCTCAAATCTTAACATTTCTTGTAAAATATAAAAGTTAGCACCTGCTCTGTCGCACATGACTGAAGGCCCCGTGGCTGTCACCGTTGCTGTAATCCTCCGAATATAAGAGACCCGAACTACTTTTGCTTTATGTTAATTACTGTTTCAGATAAGTTGGATACATCTGCTAATAAAATGTCACACACAAGACCATAAAACCAAATAAACAGACAGCAGAGGCAAAATCTACATCTGTTTCTATCCTCAAGTCTACTCAGGGGTCTGAGAGTTAACAGGGAATCCGAGCTTGAGGTGAATCCTTAAAACACATTCTCCAGAAGCCCATGAACTCCACTTTGAGACCTCGCATTCCCGGGAGGACGCTATGGTTAGGAAGGGAATGGAGACAGCCTGTCGCTTGGCCTTGATTTACAGGTGCTCTTTGCCTGCCAAGAGCAACAACTCACAAGGTTATGGCTCTCTGAGTTCAGAGTGACGTTCAGATCCAGAGAATGACAAAAAAAAAAGAAAGACAAGGCTGGAAAGAAGGACTCGTGCCCCAAATTACACAACTCCAAATGTTTGTGTTGCAAGAAAAACCCTTTGATATCACATCACGTTTGAACAAAGTGGGTTTGCGTTCTCACTTTTACCTCTGTTTGCCAAAAGGCGGAGCAGGGTGGTGACACGGGCGTACAAAGAGTGTGTGTGTATGTGTCAATCATTATTTACGGCAACTGGCTGGAAACATGCCTGCCTTCATGTGTGTTGTGTTCAACGGTGACTGTGTTACACTCCGTTGAGAGGGTCCCAGTAATAAGTCAAAGCTGACACTGAGGGGATACGGTCCTTAGGTTGTCTGGGTGGCTTCAGACGCCAGACTGAAGTGCCTGTAAAGAGCGGCAGGAGAGCAAGGTTTGAGTCAGGAAGTCTGCCTCAAGGGTAATAGGAAAGTGACAGCCAATCCATCCTTAAACCACAGACAAAGGAGGAGAACCTCTTTGGCAAATTGTCATGTCAGCTGCTACATCTTGAGAAAACTGATCCTTTATGTTAAATGTTTTTGAAAAGACAAGAGACTACAGTGGTTTAAAAAGTTTTGGTCGCTTGTAGATCACCTTTGAGAAACATCAGTAATTTGAAGGGGTCCATAAGTTTGCAAAGTTTGTTATTATATTGTATAAAGCATGCATCAGCTGAGACTCAAAGCTGTATCTTTCATTATCTCATTCAGACAAGACATTCTTAAATTTAACACCAGAACGCGCAGAGGAGATAAAGGACTTTGCTCTCATTGCTTTCTTATCAACTTACAAACTGATTTATAAACGGCTGCAGCAAGAGAGTGTGTGGATAAGACTCAGACCCTCCAGACAATAAAAGAAAAGCAAACTGTGAAAGAGGAGGTTTCATAAATATGGTGATGGTTATGATTAGATCTCTAAAACTCCTCTAAATGACATCTGTAACATCCAATTACAGTCCCATCTGTAGTTAGTGGTTGACCTTTTTTCATTCACAATCAGCGGTTACACCTTGTGACTGTAATCAGAAGCATCGCTCCGTGTGGTAGGTGACTGTTTGGAAATCTTCTGATGTGTGCATGTTGACCAGATGGGAGTGACCTAAACACCAAGGTGGCCATTCTTGCCCTTTGACTGTACAAACATATATCTATACACTCAAACATAAACAGGAGGATGCACACCAACACACACATACACACACACACACACACAGCACGTTAGGAGCATACATCCTGCCAGCCACAAGCCACTACCTCTAAACATCCCTCACATCTGACCTTTTAACTATGGACCGAAAATGTCTGTAATTACAGAGACTTTTTCAACTGTTCTAGTAAACATAGCTGCAGAAATAGATACTTCAGCTACTACATTAAAGCTCACTGGTGCCAGTGACAGGTTTCTATTCATAGCTGACTGAAATCAGTGGCTCGTGTCACAGCTAACCATAATGAGGTTGCAGCAGCAAAAAAAATTCCACCACTGCTTTTACACAAATAAACAACAGTGCGCATAAAAAACACAATAAGACGCAGAAACACATAAGCTGTTTTCAAATATGAATTTAGGACATTGTCTGAACCTTTCATGCACAGCTGGAGATGAACCACAACAGGCACACTCTCATCTCAGCTATTGGAAAAGTCTGTTTTAGTGGAGGGACGGCACCTATTTCTGTAACAGGTACAGTTACAGAGGTAACAATAACATTGAAATAAAGTGTATATGAACATATCTAAAATATTTATAAGCAAGAGAGAAAAATGACTTAGTGGCTGCTGATGCAAGCAGAAAAGAGTTTGAGGTAGCGAAACAAAACCCAAACTTGATTTACCTGCCGTATTTATTAGAGGTGGGAATCAGTAGTGGCCCTACGGTACGATATTATCACGATACAATATCATTGTGATATTTAACATTTTGCAATACAGTGAGTATGGTGATGCTATTTATTCAATTTTTTCAACTGTTTATCTAATTTAGCATTTATCTTTCCCTTATGTTTGTCTTATTTGTGCTGTATTTTATTTTCATGTAGCACATCTTGCAAACCTTATATATATTTGTTGTGCTAACTTTCTCCTGCTCTATGATGTCTCCTCTGCCAACCTCACTGGACAAACACTTGATTTTATTTCTCCATCATCATAAATTTGACTTCATATTAGCAATTAATTTGAAAAAAATCGATACTCGGTAAATGAGACGATACGATATATCACCAGACAAAATATCGCAATACTATGCTGTATCGATATTTTCTTCCACACCTAGTATTTAAATGCTGGTTTACATTAACACTAAACCAACTTAGTACTACAGGGCTTGAAGATTGAAGTCTGTGTAATGACTTCATACACTGATTCAAATCTTAATAATTTCACATGCGGACCCTTGAGGTATTGTGAGGACATTTTTAGGGGTGTTGTTTCTGCTTAAAGGAGCCATACACACCAGTAAGCAGGAGCCACAGAAAAGCTTGTATCACTTTCATCTAAATCTCAGTCAACTGGGTCCACATCTCAACCACATGTGTCTGAAAGTAAAATAATCCAATCAAAGCACTAACATGTTAAATCATTAACTTGTGAAACTTACAACCTCTCCTCAAGGATGTACCTTCAACTTGAGCATGGTCTCAGCAGAGAGGCCAGTTTGACTGACAAGGGACAGGCAAATGACCCTTTGAGGAGCAAAGGGCTGATCTGCTTTATCGAATGTCGAGAGGTCCTCTTTCAGTTGTGGCACCTGTGGAGCATTAACCCACCAGGGGAGGACAGCTTTCCTTTCAGCCAGGCTGCTCCTCTGTTTAGCTTTCCTTCCACTAAAAACATCCCCTAAAAGACAATCCAGACCTCCTTCAGCCCTGGCGCCACAGGAAGAACCGGAGAGCCCTGGAACCTCTGTCTGCAGGACGCACAATGCTCTCCCATCTCTGTTTACCTAAACCAACTTCCTCCATTCCCTCTGCCTCAGGTGGCCTACGAGTCCTGGTCACAAAAGCACTCAAACATAAGGCGGATAAATACAACAGCAGGTCTCATGAATGCTGTGGAGTCAAACACTGGTGTTTCCCTATGACCAGTATGTAAGAAAAACAAGTGGAAGAGGATCACGCTGGGAGTCGTGTCTGTTAGCAGTGATAAATGGATTCATGTATTAGGGTAAACAAACGGGGTTGTGTGAGTTTGTATAACTATAAGAGAGTGTGTGCTTCATGCTACATGAGTGTGAATGCACAACCCTGTGCATACGTGGAGACTCTCATGAGAGCTTGAAATTGTGCAGATGTTGATCTAGTCCTATTCGAGCGCCACTTTGAGTGCTCAGTCAAATTATTCAGCACTTACTGCACAGGCCAGAGCGCAACCCGCAGGGGAAACTGATAAACAAACAACAAAGAATTATTCAGGGTTTAAACACTTAAACACCCACTTCAGCAGAGCCTTTTAAGTGGGTGATTAAAATGGGCACTGCACTCCAACACAAAGCTCAGAGGACCCCAGCTCCACCAGGGGAGCCCAAGTCACCTCTAGTTTCAAACCAAACACACACAACCACTTCAGTTTGTAACCATAAAAAGACATTTTCACATTAAAAACATGATTCTTGTTTTTTAATAAACACAACACATCTTATTTGCGTACATAAATCATCATATATTTTTAAGTAAACCCATTTATCATTACCATGATGATAGAAATGTGCTAAGTGCTGCATCTTAAAAAAAAAACCCATAAACACTACTTCATCAAAAGAATAACAAATGTATATGCTTGGTTGTAAAACTCTTTGATCTACTATACATGAAACTGTGCATTAGCCATCGACGAAAAGATTTTCCACAAAACGCTCTCCTCTCTAACCTAATATTTCAAGACACAAGTGGAAAGCAACACTAAACTGACGCTCTTCAAACGGCATTAGCATGTCTGAGGCAAACACACACATCAAAAGGTTGAAGATATGTGAGCATCAAAGATGATGATGTCAGTTAAATGAACTCTGAGTTTGGACAGATTATCTGCTTGGTGTATCAGAGTATTTATACCATTTGCTGGGAACATGCTTGTCAAATAGAAGCCATTTCAGTCAGAGCCCGAGTCCAGTTTCCAAACAAAAAAACCCCAACAACAACTCATCCTAAAAATTCAACTGTTTCTTTCAATTGTGAAATTAATGCCACCCTCAAGGGTGGAAACCCAACCCCCAGACCAAATGGAACCATGAAGAGGGTGGTGAGAGACACTTTGATCAACAGCTATCCGATGCTCCAAACTGAGCATATATTTGGGGAAACAAAGCAACATCTCAGCTGCTAATCCTCTGAGATTTAGAGCACATTCCCCCAGAAGCCTTTGATCTCTGGAGTGCATCCGTACAGCTGACTCCAGACATACTGCACTCACATGCACATGCGTGAACAGATTTGCCCATACATGAAAGCCATTTTACTCATACCATTAAGATGCTACACACTGGTCCCACTGGTGCCTAGAAATGACAGTAGATCACTATTTTTACAGACTTCAACTTCAGAAATGTGTTGATTTATGAAAGCTCCTTAAATTTGATTCAACTGGAGTGAGGGGAAGAGATTCACAAAGAGGAGCGGAGAGATGCTCTGAACACAAAAGAACGGGTGAACAAACGATGGTTAAATGTCTATAGGAGAGGTTGACCAAACTGTTTCACTGAATTCATACCTGGGATGATCCACTCTGCTTTGTCGCACAGAAATTCCTTCAGCTTATGGTAATCTATGTGACACAGAACACCAGATGTGGCACTTAAGCCACCTGCACATCCAAGCACCTCCCAATCCCTCGACTATGTTGATGTCAGCCAAATGCTTCCACCCCATCTTCTCATGGGAAATTTAAAAAAGAAAAAAATGACAGAGCCCCTCTATGGCCAGGTGCTACCCCTCCTCCCCAAAGACCAAGGCTTTTCTTTTCTTTAGAGTGTGGCTCCAAACTTTTCTCTCAGCCTCTTCAAAGAGCAACAACAGGCCCCCGGTCCCTTGGGAGCACAGAGGGGGTAGAGCCCGGTGGGAGAGGGGCATACGTCACACAGAGCACACAAGAGGCCAGCCGGTGGGAAAAGAAAACGCACGGGGAGAGGACCGAAAGAAGTAAAGAGAAAGAGAGGAAGAGGAGTCTGCATTTGAAAGGTGCTTTCAGCTTGGAGAGAAGGGCCCTCGCTTTGTGAGAACGACAAGGACAGAAAAAGCAAAACAGCAGAAGCGAAAGACGAAGGGGGCGCGAAACCTGCCATGTCTTTTATCAGACTTGGAGGCAGAGGGAATGCATTTAAAAGCTTTAGGACTACTTCCAAAAAAAAACCTTTCTACTTAAAAAAAAGTGAAATCAAAGAGGCTGGCAACTGAGTGTGAAACAAAGGGGTTTGAGGCTGACATTTCACTGTGATTCACTTTTGAGTTTCACTCAGTTGTCAGATGTACCTTTGCTTTTGTGTACAAATCCATACAAGTTGATGGGAGCTCAGTTTTTAGAAAACATAAATAAGTTCTGGAAATGTAAGGAGAGTGACGCGAGTAGACTGCAGGCAACTTTTACTATGCAGAGGGCCTCACAGAGAAGGGCGGAGCCATCAGTGTCACTACGAACACTTCCCTGCATGGCCCACTTCAAATGTAGTCTCATTTCATCAGCCACAACCACCACAGGGCCACAGGGTAAACGCAAGAAACAGATGGAGCCTAAGGGGGGGAAAGGAGCAGAGGGGGGCGGCTAGGAGAGGGGGAGGGGAAGTTTAAGAGTAGAGGGGAGTAATTCAATGAGGAATAAGTACTTAAATAGATTTTTTTTAGATGATGGCCCTGTCTTTCATCTGACGCCAAAAGAAGCAACCTATTAAAACAACCATGGGAAATTTGAACTTCCTCGTCAGAAGTTGTGAAAATCTTCAGCTCCATTGATGTCTGTGTCAGCGGCATGATTTTACAGGGTGCACATAACATATCAAATTTATTGGTGAAGTGTAGACACCATGCTGTAGACAGGGGACAAAGTGCGCTAAGGCTCACATGACCTGGATTTCATGTGTTGAGAAGCCCAGGTCCACCTGCCCACACCAGTCACTCACTGTCTGTCAGCTTCAAACAAACCCTGCAGAGCTCATGAATGAGTGAAGCTGTCACATTCGTCTTTTCGTCTATGTTTATCTCTGCACATTCAGACATCATTTCAATTCAAATAAGTTCATAAAGTTCGGCTCAAAAAAAAAAAACAACTTGAAGAAACTGCCTTTTTTCCTGTGGGGTATATGGTCTGGAAAGATTCAGATCAAAAGAATTCCAAGCAAGGACTCCCTACTGTTGACACCCGACCCACATTCTCCTGGACCCTGGTTCAGCTGGGAGGGGGGCTCAAAGAACAGCAACTATAAATAACTATCTCACCAGGTATTCTATACAATAAAGACAGCTCTTAAAGCTGAAACACTTGACTCCCATTCTTTTACCCAAGAGTTAAGAATATTTTCATCCACAGCTTAAGCAGTGTGACTTTTCATATAGTTCAAAGTGATATTGGGACTCATGGTCTTTCTTATTGATCCAATCTTCAGTTAAGGGTCAGGGCATTTGGAGTTCAGTTTGTTTGTAGTCTCAGTAGTTGTGTTACAGCAGACATTAACTTCTGACATGTTGTGATTCAACAGCAGCACCGCAATGAGCTTCTGCCATCACTCTTCGTACTGTAATGTAGATGTCCCAGAATGTGTTTTTTGCCGTCTTCGACACAACATACCGCTGCCGTCCTCCTCCCATTCTGCCTACGTTACTACCTCATAGAGAAGGCTACAAGCACAGCAAACCACTGCACCTCTGTGTGTTACACATTGCAGATGAAGTTTGACAGGGGCATCAATATCCTGCTTTGAAATTGCAAAATGAAAGAGTCTATCGGCCATATGAAGGGGAACAATTCATGACAGAAGTAAAAGAGATGGAAAGCATCGGCCGGAGTGCTGAATCACCTTTTTAGTAATCCTTACAGGCAAACATGAGCATAAAAGTGCAACTATAACAACCTGGGAACCTCGCAAATGACCAGCTGGATATGAAAAAATAGTAAAGCAGCGACCAAAGCTTAAATCAGATGATTTTGAGAATGAGGAAAATGACTAAAGCCTGGCCTAAAAATTCTAGGCCTACTGCGTTAAAGCACACATTCTTTGAACCCAGTTGTAAAGACAGGTGATCAAATGTAGATTAAATATAGGAGGATGTATTTTTGAAAGAAGAGAAGAGAGGAAGATTTTTGGGCAAACAGACACAAAGACAGTCGAGCGTTCTGAGTGCTGATAGTTAACAGGCAGACAGGTGCTGAGGATCATTTTAAGTGTCCTTCTATTACAGTTAGTTGTTACAGTGCTGAGAGAAAAAGATGCAAATGAAGCCTTTATCTGGATCATATACACGCTTAGAATAAGCATGGGGTGATCTGAATGATGTAGTGATAGACATTTGATTGTAGTAATGTTTTTTTTGTGTGAAAGATAGTACCTTCTGTCTGTTGCTCTCAGCTCATTTAAACAGTAACGCTCAAAATAACACTGCAAAAAGTCAACAATTGTATTAAACTTTGTTTTAAATTTTAAAAGATTCAGTATTCAGTTTAAAATCACGACACAAACAGAAAAATAACTCAATAAATATTGACGGTGAAAGACGCCTTTCTTCTTCTATTCATTTATGCTCAATTCACTGTGAATTTTCCCCAAAAAAATCCTTTCCTTTCATCCACTACTCCTGCTCCATTTAAAGAAAAAAACATGTTTACTTCCAGGAACAAAGTAAGGAATATTTGTTTTGTGCTAATTATGTTTGGTAATTGCGTAATATTAGAGTGCTTCTAAATATTTAAACTGCTTTTAAAATGTCAATATACATGTTTCTGTATGTTTCAAATTACAAGATCCGATCCTGAAGAAAGCTCACAGAGAAAAAGTGCCCGCCGTAGCCTAGATCCTGTTACTTTTTGGAGAAGTATTGCAGCTTTGGGCTCATGCCAGGATTAGTATATCTTTGACACCATGTGGTTGTGATATGTAAAGCCAGTCCAAACTTCCCAACTCTTCACCACGCTCGATCAATGGCGCCTCACCTTAGACCAACACACTCAAGAAAGGACCTGCAACCTTTTCTTTACCAACCTCCCATGCAAACCCACGGCTGCAAAGCTCCCTAGGACATATTCCTGCACACAACAAAACAAAATAAGACTTTGGACCTGACTCAGGTGGAGCAGTTAAGATATTTTGGTTGCTTAAACTTCCTGAAGTGTGATGTTTGAATTTTCACTTCTACAACATGCCAAAAATCTGCACAACCATCACACATCTTTCCAACAATTCAGCCCATGTGTGCAGTTGTTCTTTGTCTTAATTATAATCAATTTAAATGCAAGGTGTAACATGACTTTACTAAGATTTGACTCATACACAGTAAAAGAGCGGTAAAGTAAACCGTTGTAAGCTGGCGGTTAATACACGGCGACATGGTGGTGAAAATTTGTTTAAGCTTTTTAAACATTAAACAACTTCAGGATCTGTCAAAATTAAAAGGAAATTCCTCCCACCCATTATCCTAACAAAATACTACAGCAGGTGCTGTATATGTCTTGAATGAGAGTGATTCTGAGTTCTGGGCTGTGTCCAAAAGGTAGAAGCATTTCAGCTCAAAGTGACTGGATTGTGGGTGGGGGAACTGATTTTCCTTTTGTCTTGATGAGCTCCAATTCTCCAAACATGCTGCCTTTGAGGACGGCATCGCTAACCAAAGAGGCTTAAGGCTCCTCTGAAGCAATTCCAAAGGATATTTTCTTCACTTGACAACAAACAACAGTGTGTTTACAGCAATGCCAAAATACAAAACAAGCATGACCCCCAACATTTCTCCGTAACCCTCGCAATCCACACTTGTCACCAGACTGTCACGATGCAATGCTTTCAACTCAGCCTTGATCTATTGTTACCCAAAAAGCCTCCAGAGCTGCGCACAGGATGATACAAACATTTGTTCCTTACATGAGGGATGACGAGTGTTGCAATCCAACGTTTTGATACAACACATAAAACAACAGGTAAGTCTATGGCAGACAAAATTGAGGGATTATGTGTTTTAAATGGTTTTTAATATGTGTGTAGGCTACCTTTTGAACTTTGGGTATGATGGATATGCAGAATGGCAAATACTTAAGTGAGCAGACGATTAAAAAGCAGCCTTTCCTCCTCAGAAATACTATAAGTTTGTCTATTAACACAGCCTTCAGAAAGTTTGTCGATAAGACTACGGCCTCAGATGTCAGAAGAGGCTGAAATGTCAAACCTACGGGGGGGACATGTCGAAAAAAGCCGCAAAACTTCATTGAAGGGCTAATATCGTTAAATATTGCTATCGCCACTTGTCCTCGTGCGCAGTTTCGTACTCACCCGTGCAGTCAAACCGCAGTTGTTCTTGTGGTGACAGTCCGGTTGCTCGAGGCGAGAGCTCGTGCAGTAGTATTTCTGCTTCACGAGCCAGTCGTCGATTCCCTTTCTCGCCAAACAGGCATTGACTACAAAACTGTCGCCTAAAAAATATATGAAAAATGCACGATTAGCATCTGCAAACCGCATTTCCTCTCGCTACAGTCACGTTTTAGAGAAGCGGCCCATCTTCAAAGAGTTGGACTCTGCGCTATGATGTTACTTTAATGAGCCATGAGTCTGAAAACTGTCCGGCTCTTCACAAACTGACCGAAATATAAGACTTTTTTATTTACAGATGGGGCAGCATGTAAGAAAATCTGCCGTGCTTACCTTCTGGACTCTCCCTCGGTTTACAAATAGCAGCTTGAAAGAAAGAAAGAAAGTCAGAAGACAATGAATACTGTTACTCGAAAGTATCGCAGCACCACACAAAAGAGCCATAGCTGTGATTTTCTCAAGAATAAGAATCCTTACCATGTTTCGAGTGCAGTTTACCCATTTCTATGCATCGAGTTTTTGTTGAAAACCATCAGAAGATTATAATCCAATGGAAAAAGGAAACAGGCTACGATATCCAGACAGAGGAAGGTCCGTGGACACGAGAACACAGTGCGCTCGAGAGGCTACAGGACCGTATGAGTGAAGAGCCAAAGCAGCCTTTGATCCAGAGCGCCGCCGCTAAACTGAACACACAGGAGAGTATACGGCTTCCTGTCCACACTTTCAAAATAAAACACCTCACTGGGTAAAAAAAAAAGAGAGCATTTGCAAAGGTTAGCTGTTAGATCAAGTGAACTAATGTAACTAGTATTACTAATATAACACAGCATTCTTAGTTGTTGATGTTGAAACTGTTCACAGTTTGATAAGGCTCTCAGTTTGTTGGACAAAACAAGCAGTTTGAAAGTACTTCAGTTTCAGGAAGTTTTACTTGGAAATGTCATAATGTTTTGCCCAATTCAAAGATAATACCGGCTGATTAATTAAAGCTATTTTACATTGTGAGATGTTATATTTGTATTTTTTGAAATATCAAGGATAAACCTCCACCTCTCATCCAATTACATGTAACCTCTGATTTATAAGAATAAAAGAAAATTGGGTGCTTCAAAAGCAATCAAATCAAGCTTTTATCATGAAAGCATATCCGGTGCTATTCTATTTTTCTGTCAGACTTGACACAACTCGTTTGGCTCTCCCCTCCTCTTAAGTGTCTTCAAAGAGCCGAGGAGGCGTCAAGAAAACCTTACATTTAACTGCCGAAAGATAGGGATTAACACCTCACCCCTAGGCTGACAGAAATGTGGAGTTTTCAGCAAATCTATTAACCAAGTCTGAGGGCTTGACAGGTTGACAGAACCAACATATAAGTTACAAAATAGTTAACCTCTACACTATTAGCATTTGGAGCAGAACTGATTAGATTATCCCAATCACATCACCTACAAGCTCATAGCATTATCATAGGATCTTTTTCAATATTTAGGATTAATGAACACGTGTGATAGCCTAGATCCTGCCAACATCAAAGACTGTTTGGATCCCCCTTTGAACTACTGAGGTGTTATTTTAGCAATACTCAATTCAGTCCATCTTCTCTCAGGCTTTCTGGAGACAAAATAATATCAAGTGTTGGCTTGGTGGAGTACATCTGTCTGCTTGGAGTCTTTGACATGAGAATAAGGTTTTGCAATCCCAAACTTGTTGGACTGATCTGGCTGCAGATGAAAGTATGCTAAGATTCCTTTGAAGTCTGCAATTACATAACAAAAGACAGAAGCCACAGTGCCATGTGTCATGCCCAGCCACATGTGACAGTAATGCTGGACACATCATGTGGTGAGGTTGCTCAGCAATTTTCGTCCCGTAAGTTACTATCAATGCAGAGTTTCTTACTTTTTTTCTACAGTAATGCATTTTCACGGAGCTAATGAAATCAGGGTTTACCAGACAACAAAATGTCTTTTATGCTCTCAAAAGCAGTACAACTACATACACCCCAGTACACTTGGTAAAACTTGTACATAAATATTCCTGAGGTCTGTTGGGGGCAGGGAAAGCAGACCAATGGATTTTTCTGATATTATTCAAAGCACACCACCTTTTACCTGCTCTGGATGTTTACACTCAAAGAATAACTCTTACTAGATCTGTGTAACAGGGATTTTTTCCCCCTTCAATCAATCAATCAATCAATCAATCAATCAATCAATCAATCAATCAGTCTTTCTTTATATAGCACTTTTCATACACAGCAATTTAGCACAAAGCGATTTACACAGAAAAAGGAATAAAAGAAACAAAAAATATCCAAATCTACACCAACCCAGGAATAAAGGTATACCCAAATCTACCCCAGCCCAACTCCTCATTCCCACCCCCAAAACAAAGTGACAAGGAATGAAATTGAAGAAATAATAAATAAAATGAAATAAAAACAACAGTAAAAGATACTAAAATAAGAGCACCAAAATAGCTCAATAAAAGACGACCCTGTCATTAAAACTAGAAAGGGATACATGCTAAAACACTTAAAGTTAATGATATAAAATTTAGTTAAAAGCAAGACTAAAAAGGTATGTTTTCAGTTTGCTTTGAAAATCATTATCCTTGGAAATCTAAAAAGTGTCAGGTCACATTCATAAATGTATATTTCAACTGTCATCTCATAAAAAAATCTGTAAGACTAAAAGACTTGCAGTCTGTTGTAGCTATGTGTCGTTGAACCATGTGCAGTGCCACATTGGATGTTTGCAAGTTTCAGTGCATATAGGCATGGCATGAAAGCCACTCAGCCAACTGAAGCTGCAAGTGAAGTGCAGACTGTCTGATTTCACTCGCTTAAATCACAATGCAACAAAGACAGATGCATCATGTATAATTTTGCTGTAATGTGCATTTAATAAGCCCCAAAGAAGCTGGTTTATGACTTATTATTTAACTGCTGATTAAGAGTTATACTGAACTGAACTTTTCCAAGTAGAGTTATGTCCAGTTTAAGATGCACATACAATTTGCCACAAGCTGTCAGACTCTGATCTGTTTCTTGCAGGAGTTTATCCTGCGGTGTGGTTCTTCCACTAACTTCCTGGATCAGGTTCAGCATTTATGCATTTGCCTGTGCAGTAAACTGGCACAGGAGAGTCAGAATGTTTTCACCATGGATCATAATCAAGAGTGTAATCTTGTCCAGATTTACAGGGTTCTCACATCTTTGAGAATGGGTCTGAAAATTGGACACATACTTTAATATGGCCCTCCAGGTCCATTTTTTTTAACTAAACAGTGGTTTCTGCATCCTGACCCTATCATCCCATGTTGTACCAAGAGGAATCATACTCCCCTTTGAACTAGACTGCCACAGACCCACAGATGAGCTTGTTATTATAGCTACTCGCCCGAATTTGCTGGGAAAGAAGGCCTGTCCCTGTGACATACTTCCTGTCCTTTGAAGAGGCCAACGGAGAGATGGCTTTGCAGGCCTTATTTCCAAGCCCTGCCTTTGATGCCTGTGAGAGAGGAGGTGGCGGGGGTGTAAAGCTGAATTTCCATTCTATTGGTGAGAACCCCCAAACTTCAAATCACTCCCCATTATTGACATATGAAATTATTTTAGCCTGACACTTCATCAGTCAGAAGATAAATGATGTCAGTAATTGGCTGTTATTGCCGCGCTTGTCAGATATACTAAAATCTGTCACCACTTGTCTTCTGTGTTTTGTAATTCATGCTGAAAAAGCTATATAGAGTGAAAGCAGGATTTAGGCACCTGCCTGATTGATGTTGGTATTTATTGACCTTGGTGGCCAGCTTCACCTCATTCCACCAGAAAAATGGCATTCTCCTAAGAAACCAGCGATATGGGGGGAAATCAGATTGTCAGATTCAAGGGGATCTAATGTTTTTTTCTGGGTTCATGTCCCTGAAACAATGTTAGGGGCCTGATGCTTGGAGATGCTCTGAGAGGGAATGCTGCCTTGTGGTGAGGAGGGGGATGTGAAGCATTTAGAGGGAGAGGGGAGCAGCTGCTGGGCGCTTAAAGCGCAAACATGTGACTGTTGCCTTTATCTTGAAGAACAAAAGGGCATAGATGTTGTAAAGGGCAGAAGACAATCGTGACTGAGGTACAGTGTTGATTCCTGCAGTGGCAGTGATTCAGCCCATTGTGGGGGCCCAGCGTGTGATGTGTCAAGGGAAGGATCTGTGGGGAAGGAAAGACAGCCTGGCATGCGTTTGCCATTCTGCACACGGGACACAACAGAAGTAAACTCCACTCATAATTTAACTTTATAGCAACAAGTCCCCTTTAAGTTGATGCTTTCTCAGACGCTACAACTCAATTTTAAAGCAGATATGGTTGTATGAAAAAAAATGCTTTCATACAAACCGGCAGGTGGTAGCTTCCTTCTTTTTTGATGCATCCAAAACAAAGCAAAGATACTACAAGTTAGAATATAAAAATAAATTTAAAAAAGAGGCCTATCTGGGACTCTGTAGGATCATTTAAATTTATTGATGATCCCGTAATAGAAATGTTGGATTTGTATTGGAAAATGGAAAAAGAAAAAAAAAATTCACCCCCACTTAAATACTCCTCCTTATCTTAAAAATGCATCAGAGCCCAACCATGAATATAGGTTTGTGTGTCTCCAGTTACACTGAACAGAGAGCAACAGAGCAAGCAACATCCTGGGTCAGACTCTTGGTCCGGCTCGCATCTTTAGTGACTTGCAATTTTTCTGGTGTCAAAAACTCTCCAAATTTAGGCCTGTATAATCAATACTTTCTGCTCCTGTACTCCTTTTTACTATCTGCACTCGACACTGGCTGCTTTTTTGAAGCATTGGGGGTGTAGCCCCATCCAGAACGAGGACACAATTAGTGTATTCAGCCGAAAACAGTGGGGATCCCCCTTTGATGTCAGGATCAAATGAAGGAGCTGTGTGTTTTTGTCCAAAATGACAGGCTTGCCAGGTTTACTAATGGGTAGCTAATAGAAAGAGAGGTTTATGATGCTCATTAATTACACAGTCTGTCATGTGTTGGAAGGGTAGCGTAGAGGAGATAGGGCGAAAGAAAAAAATGGGGTGCAGCAAAGGAAGCAGAGTGAAAACAATAGGGGTGTTGACGAAAAGAGGGTCGGGTTTACTTTAAAAGGGGAAATTGAAAATGAGAGAGTGAAAGAGTAAGGGCAAAGAGGAGATCTCCTAAGAGATCCAAAAAAAACCTGACTTGATAAAAAGCAAAAGCGAGAAAGATGAAGAAGAGAAAGAAAGGAACAGGAGGAGATAAAATAATCCTTTCTCAAGATAAGAGCAGCCACCAAGACAGGAGCTTCAAAGAGAAGGAGACAGTCTCATGGGAGCGTGCCATAAACCTTTTCCTCATCTTCAGAGGAAAATTCCGTCCCTGATCCAAACACGCCCAAGATCTCAGCACCCACCGCTCTGCAGGTGTCTGAGGCATGGTGACTCCTGGGGAGGCGTGCACACTTCCAAG